AGAAAAGAATGCAACATCAGGAGCTAGTAGTGGCAGAATTGATACTCTGCGATCACGGTAGAAATTTCATCAATCTGGGCAGCATCTTCTGTTAACCGTAGTGCAGGATTGCTCCCTGGTTTCCAAGGTATGATATATGTGGAAGTTGCCACCTCCTACCCTCGACCCATCCTATTCCGCAAACCCAGAAACCCAGAAATCCAGAAATCCAGAGTGCCCAGCAATCCGCGAACCCATTCCGCTAAAAACCGCTTCCACGGTTGATCCGACAAAAAAACAAAAAAAAACATCCAAACAACAACCATATATTCTTGCCGTTGAAGGATAATAATAAAGATAAGTTCAAGAACCACCCCCACCTCCACTACAGTGCTGGGAAGGTGAAAGAACTGCTGGCTCTTCGACCGATGCGTATAGTTGATCCCCGCTGGGATACGACTCCTTGATCCTTTCTGTTTCGGCGAGGGTGAAACTTAGGTCGCTGTTGAGCCGTTTCAACCGAGCAATCTCTGCCAGGAGACGCGCTTCCTCGGCCTGGAGCCGGACACGTTCGGCCAGGAGTCGGGCTTCCTCAGCGACTATGTGCTCATGGCGTGCTGGAGGTACATTGTTGGCGGGTCGGTCCCTCAGAGACAGAAAGTCGAGCAGCTGGGAAACTATGGCTGAAAAATATTATAACACACTATGAGTAAGCAGGACCTATCAAGACTGCAAGATTTCTCGAACAAACCGGGCATTGCGCCAAGCATTGTGAATGGCAGGTATCGGGGTGTGATTTCGGTGGTTCGTGTTTTGCTTGGCAATCTGGGACCAAGCCAGGTTCAAGTGTCCAGTGTCACCAGTGCTGTCACGTTCCTATTACCAGTACGTCTCTCCAGGTGCTTAGGCTGTGCTCGAGTACGGTACGCAGTGGAACTCTGGGACAGATATCGGGGAGTCTTTGGATAGCGGCAAGTAGGGAATACTGTATGGTTTTCTGTGCTGTCGTGGGGGCTGTGAAGCCAAGCGCCACGGTGTTACCCTCCTTCCTCGGTAAAGTGCAAGTAAAATCGTGCAGCAGAGCCTCAATGGAGTATGAATTGATGTTTCTCTTGGCACCGAGGCTCAGGGCGAGTACCGGTAATTGTATTCGAGTAAACCGTGGCGCCGGATATTGTGTGAAATCGTCAATTTTTGGTGATATCGCCTAAGCTATGCCCCTTCACTTTTTTGGGTCCCACTTGTATCATCTTGAGCCGTAATTATTGTCGGAGGGCCGGTCGAAAATCCCCCCGCCGTTGGAATTGGGCAATATTTTTTCGGTCTTGCACACCGCTACCGATGTCCCCGCCATCTCGATAACGATATATCCGAGTTACCGGTATAGCTGGTTGGTTTGCCCGCCACGAAATCCGGCTTCGATCTGGCCGCTTGAGTACGATACCGTGGGTGGATGAATGTCCAGGGATCTTATCACATCTATCCGTTTTTACACCGGAGGTGCAGCGGTCTCGGGTACCGCACTCGAGTACTCGTACATCATCTGTACATGTAGCAGAAATAACAGCTTCCGTGAAACACCGAAAACACAAAAGATAACGCGGGAAGCCCGGTGGCGAACGGATATGTCCCGCGGGCCCGACACGGTTTGGCCGAACCGGGTTAATCCCCGCGGTTCATATCATCCAGTAGTACTTTGTCCACGTGTAGGTGAAAATATGGAGGGCCCTAGACGTCAATATTGTTTTCTACAAGCTGGGCGCTGCGCGTCAAGGTATTATACTATACCAAGGAAGACGAAACTCCGATTAAACCAGTGGGGAAATCGTGCCTGGCAGCGTTCACATGCACTCGGGTGCCACTCTTTGGATCGAAACGAGGGTGTACGGTGCTAACTATAACACGTGATGTTTCATGCCTAATTATCCCATTTGTAGGGCTCCCAATTGGGGATCTTCACCTCCGCGCACCACAGCCGCAACTCGATATATCCGGCCTATCCAAGGGTTTCATGAGAGAAGAATTTTACGTGTAGCTGACTGCGAACAGATCAAAAGACGGTTTGACCCTCAAACTCTGTAGCCGTGACCCCGGGCCGAAAATCAAGAAACAAGTTGTGGTGAGTGGAGTGGAGTCGGTAATGGGTAACCTGCGGGGTGAGTTGTCATACTAAATTGCCGGTTAAAGATGACTACACAATGGTGAAGTGTTAATCTATTCGGCGTATCAACGGAGGGATCATCGTGTCACCGAATTATATGGCCAACTTTCTGGGGTTTTGTGCGGAAAATGCGATTAGGTTAACCGCACCACGGGTCGGAATGTGGGCCTGCTATGTCTGTAGGGCCTAGAAATAGGTGGGAGGGAACTCCCGGTCCGCGACACACAATACCGGTGACGACCTCTAGCTGGCTTGAAACCTAGCACGAGTGCATCCGTGAATTTTTCTGGGATCCCAAAGAGGCACCACTATAGTACAGGATAGAGAGCCGATGCTGACTGCATCCTAGGCTCTAAGCAAGCACCCAGCAAGCAGTACTGTTAGAGGGAATTATCGACATGGGGGTATGGTTACGTGTTTTCTCATATGGTATGAGGAAGTTTGTCATCACCATGTTAGAGGCTAACTTATGGGTATCGGCAATGCCCTTTTTGTGTAGTTATTTCACGGGTATCATGAGAGAGAGAGAGGCGAAGCAGAGGGCACCTCCGGGCACCAGACAAGAAAGCGTCTCGGAGCTGTGCGAGAATTGCAGTCTTGTTGCGAGAGATCTCTGGCATCCGAAGTTCCATCTCTATCATCACCGTGATCCCTTCTTTTCTTCAGCCGACGCCGCTTCCAGTTTGGAAATCCTCCTTGATTCTTTTCCCTCGTAATAAGCAAGCACAGCATTGGTGAGAACTACCCGCCCGTAAACCAACCCATTCGTCGTGATTCAACAAACAAGGTGGAAATCATCCTCCCAAAATCTGAAAATTCTGCCACCCCTCCCCCGCCCGCAAAAAGAGCAATATTATTTTCACTCTCGATAGGCATCATACAACGCCTTAGGAGGGGAGGACTTCTTGACTTCTGGGCTGCAAGATCTAACTTGCAGTGATGGCCGAATTAATCCAAAGGGAGAAGGGATTGACCAATACTCGAGTAGATGGAGGGAAATCTTCCGACCCATTCGGATTCGCAATTAGCCAGGGTCAGGGCACCCTATCCGAATAGGGAGCCATCTACACCCCTGAGCGTGCGCCCGACATTTGCACGAGTACAGTATTGAGACCATGTATCAGCTCTCCCGAAGCCAGCCCGCAACCATTACATCCAGGCAGAAAGGGAAGGAAAAGAAAAGCTGGCTCGCAGAGGTTAGTGTGAGCCCCAGAAAGCATGCTAGCGACTCGCAATGCGTGTGAAATTCCCACTCCCTCAAATATTCACTTCACGGCCAATAATCTACAAAGCTTACCAGTGTAATAAATTGCCAACCGCGCGAACCCTGTACCCAGTCCCATACCATGTCTACTGGTATGCTACTTGTACAGTACTCGTACTGTGGTAAACCCGACTCATTTGTTCGGACTGGCAACCAAGGTATTGTAGGATAGGTTAGCATAATTAACCGAACATTTGGCGCCGCAACGATCGACCACGCTCAACATCGCAACTCGTCATCCCACTCCCAAACCCCACTATGCCTTTACCATAGCAAAAAATCCCCAGAAAACAAGATGTTAATTAGGATTACGTATTTATTTGATTATTAAATATTTTTTTGGTTGTGATCTTGGTGGTCAAGTGTTGCGGAAGGAGTGCGCCCATTTGCATCGCGATGCTCGGCCAATTATGCTAACGGAAAATAGGATACAATTAATTTTCCTTATCTCGGAGGTGGGCGCCGGGGATTATTCATGACCAGGGGGGTAAGGGGTTGCCGTCGGGAATAACGGCTTTGCACGGTTGCGCGACCGTTGGAGGGATAACCACAAGGGTGTTTCCTGTAACGGGCAAAGGCTTACTTTATATGCGGTACAGTACAAGGTCCTCAACTTAATTGTCACGTTTGTTGGAGGACATTGGTGGCAAGTTACTGCACCTTAGTGGATTCCGGCTAAGGTCGGATGGGGCAGCCTGGAGACCTGTGAGTGGTGCGGTATTTGTATGAAGGAACCACCTCAACGAAGCCGCTCGCTCAACCCAACCATGACAGTTGGGGGCTGCTTCCAGAAATCTTGGCTCGGCTGGGCGTCAGTCAATCCAGGCACTCAATAAGTAAAGGGGTGCTAAAAAGACCCTGAGGAAAAACCCAGAAAATGGCTTTAACGTTGGGGGAGTAATAGTAGAGACGATAGAGCGCTTTTCTGGTTGGTTTTTGATCCAAATTGGCACATAATATTAATAAACCATGAAAATGAGGTGCAAGGCTTGCCCAGTTTTCCGGATGCTTCGCAGGTTTATGCATTGGTGAGCATAGTGGGTGAGCAGGTTAACGAAATTATCAAGAACAGTTAACGGGATCCAGGAAGTTCGAATACTATTCCGCCTTGGGTTGTTTTGTCTGTAAATGCTGAGATTAGGGACGTGATCGCGATAGTGGATTATACGGGTGTTTACAGTATTAGGCTTTGAATTAGGAGAAAGTGCGATCGCCCTGATATCAGCTCTGCAAGGCATGATGCGAGGAAAAGAAGCGACCAATACTTCTCGAATCACACCTCAGCACTCGAAAGCTATTCAACCGCGAAGCATACTTGGTCAGCCCCCCCCCCCCCGGTAATGGTTTGGGCGCGGTCGAGGCCGGAATTGAATAGTCGATCAGTATTGTTTGGGGTGCTGGCAGGTTCGGAGGTTAGTCCTTTTTCTGCAGGGTTCCGCCCCCTCACTCATCCACTCACTGCGACATCTCCGACCTTTCATTTCCATCCATCCATCCACACAGCCTATGTATTGCGAAGGAGTTTAAAGATGGGATGGTACCCCCCAGCGTTGGGTTCAAGACTTACAGTAACGGTATCAGAGACCAAAACACAACATGCAAGGCCACAGCTCAGCTAAGGAGATCCACCACGAGAATTACGAGATATCATCCGATGGGGAGTCGTGGTCTGCCGAAGAGGAGGCGTGTGTGAGGAGAAGGCTGGATTGGAGATTGTTGCCGTTGTTGACAACGCTGTATATGCTTTGCTTTCTCGATCGGTGGGTTACGGAGTGGCGATAGTTGCTGTGTTGTAGCATCGCTAACAAGTCCTGGCGAGGAACCCAGAGCAAATATCGGGTATGGAGGTGGGAATGGCAAGTTATACGGTGCACGATCGCTGATGCGGAAGGGCATAGTAATGCACGGATCCAAGGAATGCAGCATGATCTTCATCTCATCGGGTTCAGGTTTAATTGGGCGTTGACTATGTTTTATATTCCATATCTTCTGTAGGTCCTCTTGGCGTAGTAGCCGGATGAGGTGATGACTGACCGACTGACCAATTGTGGTTGATGTGGCAGGGTGGAGATTCCGAGTAATATATTACTCAACAGGATAGGTATCCTAATATTGATGCTTTGTTCACGCAGGGATTAGTAAGCTAACCCGTCACATAGGTCCAAAGATTTATAGTACTCGCCCCCCTCTATCCCGATCGCTTACGCTATCCGCTGAAACTAATCGCGCGGAAAACCAGTCCCCGCGCTCATAATAGCGTTCGGCATTGTGTCAATAGGGACTGCGTTTGTGAAGAGCTTCCAGGGACTGTGCGTTGCTCGTGCATTCCTGGGTTTTGCGGAGGGTGGAACAATGCCTGTATTGCCCTCTGGTAACTTTAATCGGTCCGGCCGTGCTAACGGAGTCAGGGAATGGCGTTCGTTATGAGCTGCTTCTACAAGCGGGGGGAATTGCTCTTTCGAGTAGGGCTTCTTGCTTCGGCTGCTTTGCTCTCGGGCGCTTTCGGTGGCTTCTTGGCGACGGCCTTGTCGTAAGTTAATTGGATCTGGGGGAGCGCGATGGCCGGAGCTGATGAGGGCGATGTAGACGGATTCCCGAATGGGGTGCCAAAGGGTCCGAGGTTCATACGTACGTAATCATCCTCTCCCAACTATGACAGAAATGTCGATGGTAATATGTAGTCCAGATGGAGAAACATATTCTTCTTTGAGGGCCTCGTGAGAATCCCTTTAACTCTCCATCGGAAGAACCCTATTGACGAAACCTTTGTAGATCACAGTCGGGTTCGGAGTTTTAGCGTACTTCTTCATCCCTAAGTCCCCGCAGGACTGTATGTTCCTAAATGAGCGAGAGCGGTGGATCGCGGCCGAAAGGATGAGAATTGAACATAGAGAAGTATGTTTTACCATTTACCTGGATATGTACCGATCAACTAACGGCCACAGATCACAAGTGAGAAAACCGAATTATGGCATGTGAAGAGAGCTGTCTTCAACATCAATAACGTGACTTGTTGTATGGGATTTTTCTTCTGCAACATTACTGCGCAGGGTTTCTCTTTATTCCTAGTCAGTTGATCTTTTCCTCCAGCCCATATATATCGGACTAATTCTGTTTCAGCCGACAATCCTTAGTGCATTGGGATGGAGAGCAACAAAGGCTCAAGTACCTCTCTCCCTCCACCCGGATTCCACAGTTGCTAATACCCACAGCTTCTCACTGTCCCGCCTTACACTGTGGCATTCTGTTTCTCAATCTACATAGCCCGTCTCTCGGACCGCTATCGGAAGCGCGGTCTGTTTATTCTCGTCTGTACAACTCTAACGTTAACGGGATATTCGATGCTTGTGAGCGTTAGTAGCGCAAACATCAAATACGTAGCAGTGTTTTTCGTGGCGACCGGTGCACTCCCGCCTGGTCCGGCGTTTTTGAGCTGGGGGTTGAACAGTATGCTCCTTTCTAGTTGTTGACATACCCATGCGAGGAGTATACTAATGACGATGGGCGCGATGAATAGATGCGGCGGGACCTTCCATCAGAGCTATAACAGGAGGGTATATTGTGAGTGTTGGCACTTGCGGTGCAATTCTCGCGACGTATGTTTCCTCACCTCCTTTACTTGTACCGTAGCTAATTGAACGGTATAGGTGGACATATATCTCTTCCGATGCTCCAAAGTACACCCGAGGACATTCGATCAACCTTGGTATTTCTCCCTCTCCTTATTCTAATATTAATTGGCACTAACATCTTCTAGGTGGACAAGCCTGTTTGGCCCTGGTGGCTCTATTTGGTATCTTTTATACTCGCCGGGAGAACGCTTTGCGGGACCGAGGAGGGCGGGATGGGCGGTTGGTGGGGCTAGCGGAGGGGCAAGCGCGGAAGTTGGGCTATCGGCACCCCGAATTTCGATATGTCGAATAGTACAAGAAGGGGAGAGGTTTTGATGTCGAGTTCAGAGCGGTTGGGATGATTAGCTATTTAGGGTACCGGTATAGATTGGTGGTGACTGGAACCGCACTTACATCTTTGCTTTGATTCGTCGTTGTTGCTGTGCCCAGGTATGGGTCGTGTGAGTGATATGTGACGCTACTATTCTAAGGCTATCCGGCTTAACATAAGTTGGATATACCTATCTCAGGGGCAACTGCCCCACTTTTCTACCCTCATAACCGGACTCGAAGTGAACTTCCAACTGCATATCACAGATCTTGGGGAACAGGGGTTGTTCAGCCCACCCCAATTTAAAATTATCGCTATATTTCCTAAAAACGACATCTAGCGAGATTAAAATAAAAGAAAAAAGTGGCGTTTCTGGAAATACTAGTGTTCGGCAGTACCAGAATCAGTTCTACGTTTTCCACTAGAATAAAATTAACATGTATGATATAAACCTTGGGACAAAGTGTTCGGGGTATTGGTCAAAAACCCTGGTAGGATAAAGCACCGTTGAAAAGCGATACCCGATTGGGGTTGCCCCCAGTCCCGGCTAAAGCTTGGATGCGAACGCAAATCGCACCGCGGTCAAATAGTTTGTCTCATTCCTCCGCTGCATTTTTTGACCACCTGGCGCCCAAGGCATGGGTTAGAGCAACTGAGAAGTATAAGTATCGTAGATTTATCCCAACCTTGACCAGGAGGCTGGAAACGAGTGATGATACATGATTGCAGTTACGGCGGAAATGGGCAAATGAATTACCCAGCAGTTTTAGGGCTGAGTAGGTCGTATATCTGTGTGGTGTATGATACCTTGAATTTACATGGCAGCTCATGGATATCTTGCGAATCCAATATATAAGAGCGGTATGATGTCGGAGCTCTGAAGCGATGAACAAGCACGGAATGAAAACCCCTAACCCTGTGGTCGAAGCCCGGAAGGTGGTTTGTTCAGAGACGGAAGTCGGTCCGAACGGTCGCAACCGGTCAGGCACCGGGTCAGAGGATGATGGAGGGCATGCAACCCGCTAAGCCTGAGATCCAATGTACGAGTACGAGTACAGCGGTATAAACATCCGTCCGTTCCTCCAAATACTTCTCTCGGAATATGGTAATCTGATCGGAGGCCGCTACGGTGTTGCTATGTTCCTGCCGATCAGGATCCTAAACGGCACGGTGCTCGTGGTAATCACCGAAAGACAGTGCTCCTTAGGTGGCCTGGCGCAGAGAAGTAAGTTAATCCACAGAGGTTCACTGGGTTCGCTCGGGAATGGCATAAGCTTGGCTTATGGAGAAAGATAACGGAAATTTACTCGTGACTTTATTCAATGGGGGGTGCCGGGGTGCAGGCAGTCGTGGGCATGGCAATCCCGGTGGTCTCGGAGGGAGAGGCTGGGTGGTGTGGCTGAGTGATCGCATACTCGGGAGTCCTTTGTTATGAAAACTTCTTTTTCTTTTTTTGGATCCATGAATGGATGTTGAAGGGGATATCTGACATAATATTATGGTATTTAATTTAAGATTCTGATGAGACCAAAGAGGAAGTGAAACACCGCCGGTTACAGACAAATATCCCTGATTCAGCATCAAAAAAGAACTAAGTCTGTTGGAAATAGGTATAGTGGTATGTCCGTTTTTGTAAACTCTTAGAGCGCATTTGATACGCCCTAGTTTCTCAAACGGAATTATGAACTGTAATAGGCATCTAATTCGGGAGCCTTTGTTGATTTCATTACTACAGCTGGACTTTTGAGCTATGTTGTCAGCTATTCCTGCCGAGGTTGTGACTAGACGTCACAACCCCCGAATACTCGCTTGCTCGCAAACGTGGTCCCTCATAGTCTACTGAGTGCCAGACAGTCTAATGTCATTTTGTGGCTTGGTGTACAACAAAGTAACTCTGTCGCCGACTACAGCTGTTCAAATTTAATTACTCACGTGGAGATCGACCCGTCCCACCAAGGCAGATCTATAAGTTACCCTCCGGGTAAGTTTTTTGTCCCTGAATGATTCTGAGGTGGTAACAAGACCTGGTGTTGTGAATTTTTAAAGTGGGTTTCAAAGCTCAAATCCTGGGGTTATCAATGCACAGAGAAAAAATATTAGGTCATGAGAAAGTGGTGAGGGAGGAAACAGAGGTTGAAAGTTAGGAAACTAGCCGGGATTAGCACACTTTCTTTATCTGGCTCGTAACTGCTATCAATGGCAACCTAAATGGTCTCAACATTTGGGGTCAAAGCGAAGGTTTGGGGCTGATGGCCGCCGCACCTTGGTATAACTATCCGTGTTTAAGACGACAATTGGAAGACAGCCCTTGTAACACCATACTTCCCGGTTAGGATAGCCTCCCTGTTGTTTGAGGGGGTTGGACTCCATGAAATATTTCAATCTGGTTAGTTGGCATTTCTGATAAGGTGATATTAGGTTCCCTCTGTATAGCTAGGCTGCGACTCAGCTTTAATAAAATACTGTAAAGTGTACCGGAGTACAGAGTCTGCATGATATTGTAGATTCTTGGAGCGTATTTCGTGAGTGATTGAGGCACTCCACCCGAGCGTTAGTCTCAGTGTCGTGTTACGGGATGTTGAGTTCATATCTTAGTCATTGATGTGCTGGCGTTTTATCTTTGTGGATTGATTGCGTCATGATTTTAGCAGCGGGGGTCATACCCCTCCTTTTTCGACCCCGCCTTCTATAAAACCTCCGGTATCGCCGCAACAGTTACCGCTATCATATCTACCCTTAAGGAATACTTCGGACACACAATGTATCACACAAAAGTCTCTCGCTTGGCTGATACGGGCAATGTTACCTGCAATATCGTAACGAAAAGTCACGACAATATTGCCAATGTGAATGAAGTAATCGCCGATGAGAACGCAGAGGTTATGGAGTTTATCGCGCCATGGGACAACAGGGGCCGTCGTGTGGGGAATTGGCTGTTGGAAACAAAGGAGTTTCAGGAATGGAGGGGTAAGGAAGGTGGAGCCGGTAAGGCTGTCTTATTTTGCTGCGGGAATCTAGGGGTGGGAAGAATAGATCTAAGGTAAGTGACTGGCTCATGTGGGGGAAGCGGGAATTATCGGTAAATTAGCTCATTGGTGATTGATAGGCTGTGTTGTGACACCGGAGACGGAGATATAGCAATCGCAACATTCTATTGCGATTCCGAGAACAACCAGGAGCAGACCTCTGCCGACGTTATGGGAGTCATCCTGCAGCAGCTGGACAGAGGGGGAGCTCTAGAAGAGGTGGGAAAGGGGTTTCGAACGGTGGGCGTAGATTTTGGTGGTCGAGGTCTGGGACTTCCGGATATGGTGACAATGATGAAGCGGGTTATTGCCACGTTACCGCAGGTTTTCATCTGTATCCATATTCTGGATGAGTATCTCCCCAAGCAGATACTGGAGCTTCTTAGGTCACTGAAGGTTATCCTTCAGGCCTCGCCGAGAGCGCGGATGTTAATCTCTGGGAGCCCTCAGGTTGAGGCCGAAATTACAAGATATTTTACAGCTGGGGTTATAGTACTTGTTAACCCGGAGACGCGCAGAGCAAGACAGTGTTTGGAGAAGAGGCTGGCGATGGATTCCGAACTGGACGCCTCAGAATGGTTATGGGCTGAGAACCAGAGAATTTATCCAGAACAGATTTCTGAAATGTGTGTATAGGTATCCACAGTTGGACTGCATTCAGGATCCTATATTGACTAACGGCTGGCTATAGATTCCTCCAGGACTTGCAACTCACAGAGGGAAGAGAGAACCTGCCGATCGGACGAGAAGATATCTATCACAGCCCTATAGGCACAGGAGATTGCCGAATGACGCTCTTATGGGCTGCAGAGAGCGGGGATGAGGGAGCGGTAAAGTTACTATTGAAACAACCGAATATCAATCCCAACGCTCCGGACACCAAATATGGCCTAACACCACTCTTGTGGGCTGCGGATCGTGGCCATGAGGGGGTAGTAAAGCTGCTATTGGAAAGAAAGGATATCGATCCTAATCTCGCAGAAACAATATATGGCCAAACGCCACTCGTGTGTGCTGTGGACCAGGGGCATGAGGGGGTAGTAGAGTTGTTATTGGAACGAGAGGATATCAACCCCAACCTTGCGGACACCAGATATGGCATAACACCACTTGGCTGGGCTGTAGATCGCGGGCATGAGGGAGTCGTAGAATTGTTATTGGAACGAGGAGATATCAATTCCAAGGCTGCGGACACCGAATCTTGCTGGACGCCACTAGGACGGGCTGCGTGGCTTGGGCATACGAGGATAGCAAAGTTGCTATTGGAACGGGGCGATATCAATCCCAACACTGCGGACACCAGATTTGGCCGAACACCACTCGGGTGGGCTGCGATGGGTGGTCATGAGGGAGTTGTAAAATTGTTATTGGAACGAGAGGATATCAACCCCAACACTGTGGACATCGGGTGTGGCCTAGCACCGCTCAGTTCGGCTGCGATGGCTGGACATGAGGGGGTATTGAAGTTGCTACTGGAACGAGAGGATGTCAATCCCAACACTGCTGACACCACTTATGGCCTAACGTCTTTCGCGTGGGCTGTGCTGGGTGAACACGAGGGGGCAGTGAAGTTGCTATTGGAACGAAAGGGCATCAATCCCAACGCTACAGTTACCGAATCTCGCTGGACACCTCTCACGTGGGCTGCGTGTGTTGGGTATGCGGGACTAGTAAAGTTCCTATTAGATCGAGGCGGTATCAATCCCAACACTGCGGACACCAAATGTGGCAGAACACCACTCGGGTGGGCTGCAGTGGGCGGACATGAGGGAGTTGTAAAATTGTTATTGGAGCGAGAGGATATCAACCCCAACACTGCGGACACAGCGTATGGACTGACGCCACTAGGGTGGGCTTCAGAGCGCGGGTATGAGGGAATCGTGGAGTTGCTATTGGACCAAGAGGATATCAATCCGAACACTGCGGACATCAAATACGGCCTAACGCCGGTCGGGTGGGCTGCAATGGGTGGACATGAAAGGGTAGTGAAGTTGCTATTGGAACGAGGAAATACCAATCCCAACACTGCGTACAACGACCATGGC